CATGTTACCTGATGAAATTGCTGTACAATATGATCTTGTTGCCATCTGATGCACATTCAAATGCCGATTGTATTACTGCTGATGATATCTGGAAATGTGCATGTACACCCTGGCCCATCTACTGTTGCTAGTCCCAATTCTGACTTGTGCTCATATCTGCTTCACTGATATCTGCTCTCGTAAAAGCCTGGGCTTTCTGCACATTAACACAAGAAGCTTATTACCTAAAATTGATCAATTAAAAGTGTGGGTTCACAGCTCCAATCCAGATGTATTACTGAGACGTGGTTAAGAAAGAGTGTTTTGAACACTGATGTTAACCTTTCTGGTTATAACCTTTTTCGGCAAGACAGATCTTCCAAAGGTGGTGGAGTAGCAATCTTTACCAAGGAACACCTTCAGTGCTCGGTTGTCTCCACCAAGTCTGTCCCCAAACAATTTGATTTGCTGGTTTTAACCATTAAGCTTTCAAATAGCCCTTTGTTGACTGTTGCTGGGTGTTATCGTCCACCATCAGCACCGGCCTGTACCCTACCTGCCCTAAGCTCTCTCCTGGCCCCTTACACTAAGTCTGAATCTGTCCTGCTAGGTGACCTAAACTGGGACATGTTTAAACAACCTGATCAAGTCCTAAAGCAATGGGACTCACTAAATCTTTATCAGATTATTACCAATCCCACAAGGTATGACTCCAAACACCCAGAAAAGGCTACTCTCCTTGATGTTATCCTCACAAATAATCCTGATAGGTATCAGTCTGGTGTTCTGTAATGACCTTAGTGATCACTGTTTTACAGCCTGTGTTCGTAATGGCTACTCAGTGAAACGACCTGTCCTGATTTGTCATAGAAGCTTGCTAAAAACTTGAATGAGCAAGCCTTCCTTCATGACCTGGCCCCTGTAAATTGGTATAGAATCAGCTTGATCCCCTCTATCGATGATGCTTGGACCTTCTTTTTTTATATTTTCAGTGGTATTTTTAACAAACACGCCCCCATTTAAGAAAATGAGAATTAAAAAAAACAGGTTCAGCCCCTGGTTCGACCGTGATCTGGCAGAGTTACTCCACCTCAAGAATTCCATTGGCGAAAGGCTCGGCACACGCTTACTCAGGCGGACTGGCTCTTATTCAGGCAAATGAGAAATAAGTGCACTCAGGCTATCCGGAAGGCTAAAGCTAGTTACTTTAAGGAGCAGTTCTCTCTGTGGGTCTAACCCCAAGAAGTTCTGGAAAACGGTTAAAGACCTGGAGAATAAATCCTCCTCCTCACAGCTGCCCATGTCCCTTAATGTTGCTGATGTGGTTGACAAAGAGCACATGGCTGAGCTCTTTAAATCACCACTTCATTAAGTCAGGATTCCTATTTGACTCAGCCATGCCTCCTTGCCAGTCCAACATTTCCTCATCTCCCAGTCCTTTTAATAGCGACTAGCCCTGATGCTCCTCCCTCTTTTCCCCCTGCCCCGCTACAAAGTTTCTACCTGCAGGCGGTCACGGAGTCCGAGGTGCTAAAGGAGCTCCTTAAAACTTGACACCAAAAAACCATCTGGGCCAGATGGTTTAGAACTTTTCTTCTTTAAGGTTGCAGCCCCTTTTATCGCCAAGCCGGTCTCTGACCTTTTTAAACAGGTCTCTCCTCTCTGGGGAGGTTCCCATTCCTTTGAAGGCAGCCACGGTGCGTCCTTTATTTAAAGGGGGAGCTCAAGCTGATCCTAACTGCTATAGGCCAATTAAAATGTTTCCCTATTTATCAAAAGTGTTGGAAAAACTTGTCAATATTCAGCTGACTGGCTTTCTTGATGTCTATAGTATTCTCTCTGGTATGCAACCTGGTTTCCTCTCAGGTTATGGATGTGTCACTGGCAACCTTAAAAATGTCCTAAATTATGTCACCATTGCCCTTGATTCTAAGCAATGTGGTGCTGCTATTTTTATTGACTTGGCCAAAGCGTTTGATACGGTAGACCATTCTATCCTTGTCGGCCGGCTACGGAGTATTGGTGTCTGAGGGGTCTTTGGCCTGGTTTGCTAACTATCTCTCTCAAAGAGTGCAGTGTATAAAGTCAGAACATCTGCTATTTCAGCCACTGCCTGTCACCAAGGGAGTACCCCAAGGCTCGATCCTAGGCCCCACGCTCTTGGTTTCCTCTATCGTAATCGCTCCTCTTTCACCCCAGCTGCCAAACTAACCCTGATTCAGGTGACCATCCTACCCATGCTAGATTACGGATACGTAATTTATAGATAGGCAGGTAAGGGTGCTCTCGAGCGGCTAAATGTTCTTTACCATTCGGCCATCAGATTTGCCACCAGTGCTCATTATAGGATACATCACTGCACTCTATACTCCTCTGTAAACTGGTCATCTCTGTATACCCATCGCAAGACCCACTGGTTGATGCTTATTTACAAAACCCTCTTAGGCCTCACTCTCCCCTATCTGAGATACCTACTGCAACCCTCATCCTCCACATACAACACCCGTTCTGCCAGTCACATTCTGTCAAAGGTCCCCAAAGCACTCACACATCCCTGGGTCGCTCCTCTTTCCAGTTCCCTGCAGCTAGCGACTGGAACGAGGTGCAAAAAAAACACTCAAAACTGGACAGTTTTATCGCCATCTCTTCATTCAAAGACTCAAATCATGGACACTCTTACTGACAGTTGTGGTTGCTTCGCGTGATGTATTGTTGTCTCTACCTTCTTGCCCTTTGTGCTGTTGTCTGTGGCCAATAATGTTTGTACCATGTCTTGTGCTGCTACATGTTGTGCTGCTGCCATGTTGTGTTGCTACCATGTTGATTTCATGTTGGGTTGCTACCTTGCTGTGTTGTCATGTGTTGCTGCCATGCTATGTTGTTGTCTTAGGTCTCTTTATGTAGTGTTGTCTCTCTTGTTGTGATATGCGAGACCACTGCAAAATTATCAGTTTCTCTGGTTTTACTATTTATAGGTATGTGTTTGGGTAAAAATAACACTGTTTTATTCTATAAACTACTGACAACATTTCTCCCAAATTCCAAATAAATATATTGTCATTTAGAGCATTTATCTGCAGAAAATGACAACTTATCAAAATAACAAAAAATATGTAGTGTTGTCAGACATTGAATAATGCAAAGAAAATAAGTTCATGTTCATTTTTAAACACAATACTAATGTTTTAACTTAGGAAGAGTTCAGAAATCAATATTTGGTGGAATAACCCTGATTTTCAATCACAGCTTTCATGCGTCTTGGCATGCTCTCCACCAGTCTTTCACATTGATGTTGGGTGACTTTGTGCCACTCCTGGCGCAAAAATTCAAGCAGCTCGGCTTTGTTTGATGGCTTGTGACCCTCCATCTTCCTCTTGATCACGATCCAGAAGTTTTCAATGGGGTTCAGGTCTGGAGATTGGGCTGGCCATGACAGGGTCTTGATCTGGTGGTCCTCCATCCACACCTTGATTGACCTGGCTGTGTGGCATGGCGCATTGTCCTGCTGGAAAATCATCAGAGTTGGGGAACAATGTCAGAGCAAAAGGAAGCAAGGTTTCTTCCAGGACAACCTTGTACGTGGCTTGATTCATGCGTCCTTCACAAAGACAAATCTGCCCAATTCCAGCCTTGCTGAAGCACCCCCAGATCATCACTGATCCTCCACCAAATTTCACAGTGGGTGCGAGACACTATGGCTTGTAGGCCTCTCCAGGTCTCCATCTAACCATTTGAAGACCAGGTGTTGGGTAAAGCTGAAAATTGGACTCACCAGAGAAGATTACCTTATTCCAGTCCTCTACAATCCAATCCTTATGGTCTTTTGCAAACCTCAGCCTGTCTCTTCTTTGCTTCTCATTGATGAAGGGCTTTTTTCTAGTTTTGCACGACTTCAGCCCTGCCCCTAGGAGCCTGTTTCGAACCATCCTCGACGTGCACTTCACCCCAGCTGCCGTTTGCCATTCTTTTTGTAGGTCACTTGATGTCATCCTACGGTTGTTGAGTGACATTCGAATGAGTTGGCGGTCATCCCGGTCAGTAGTCATTTTCGCCCTCTGCCGGTCTGTAGCTTTGTTGTCCCCAATGTCTGCTGCTTGACCTTGTTCTTATGAACCGCCGTCTTTGAAATTTTAAGGATGGAAGCAACCTGACGCTCACTGTATCCCTCTGCCAGTAAAGCCAGAATTGAACCCTTCTTTTCTTCACTCAAAACTTTCCTTTTCAACTCTTTTGACATTTTGATTAATATTACTTTTGAGGTACTATTAGCACTGTTTTTGCCATCCAGCTGGTCCTATTGCAAGAGGATAGTGATGACCACATCAGTGGTTTTTATACTTCTCCTCGTTAAATAAGATTTGGTTCAGGTGATCACTTAATCAGTACCTAATTCAGTAGAATGAGGTGTGCCTGTGTTGGAATTCAACAGACACTGGAATGGAAGTCATATATGTAGAGATGCTGATTTAAGAAAAATTTGCAGTGGTCTCTTAATTTTTTCCACAGCTGTATAGCACAACATTTAAATACACTAGTAATTATATATATATATATATATACAGGTGAATGAATGAACTGATGTGGGACTGGGAACATGCAAATAGGAGCTGGTAGTCAGAGCCTTCATTTACATTTTACATTTACAGTCATTTAGCAGACGCTCTTATCCAGAGCGACTTACAGGAGCAATTAGGGTTAAGTGCCTTGCTCAAGGGCACATCGACAGATTTTTCACCTAGTCAGCTCGGGGATTAGAACCAGCGACCTTTCGGTTACTGGCACAACGCTCTTACCCACTAAGCTACCTGCCGCCTTCAACTTGCAGCCATGGCAGCAGAGCTTTGTGTGCCCCTTAAAGGCCAGAAACTACAGCTGCAAATGCAGCATTCGTCAATCATCATACAGTGCACCTGATGCAAAGTACAAGTTCAAAGTTAACTGATTGTTCTTTGCTGATAAACTCATTTCTACAACTAGTGTTCAGTAGTCATTTTGGTCACTGCCAGTGTCAAGTATGTAAATCAAGGGGAGACACTGTACAAAGAAAAGTACTTAAACCCCCCACCCATACCTGCAGGTGGTTCTTCACCATCCTCCACTCTCTGCAGCCACTGCAGAATGGGCTGTACCATTAGGGGTCTGCCAGCGGGGTAGTGGAAGACTTCTCCTCCTGCAGCAAGCTGGGAGAGCACCAGGGCAGGAAGCAGGGGCAGGGAACCCAGGTATGCCTCCAGGACAGCCTTACCTGCAGGGGTGCGACCCCTGGAACACACAAGACACCCCTCAACACCAAAATACACCCTGCATCCACAGGTTTTTCCATCCAACCATGACTCAGTCAATGAGCTGAGATTCAATTCAAAACGTTGAGATAAAAGTAAAACCAGTTCATGAAAATTGGAGTTGAAAAGACAACGGCGTTATAAAACCCCAATTCTGAATCATATTTTGCCTTGAAACAGTATATTGAAATGTGGAGGACAAGATAAAGACAATGACGTACGTTTAATGCCAATGACACTAGAACTAAACCTTTCAGTCACATAGTTGGGCTATGGCTGCCTTGCCCTGAACTTTGTGTTCCTGAAACCTAAACCTTTAATTGATGTGGGAAACGTAATACTCCGGTACATACAGGTGGATCCAGCAGGGCAGGTAGGACTTGAGCCATCCTGTGTTCAGCAGACTCCTCATATCCTCCAATACTCCCTTGTTCCCTTTCCTCCCCCTCTCCTCATCTTCTTCTCCCACAAACAGCAGCAGGAGGGGTTTCTTTAGCTCCAGATACAGGGGCAGGTTCTCCACTGTCAATTCCGGCTGGAAGGGGTAGAGACAGCGAAAAAAGGTGATCAATGATATATACAGTATCTTGTAAAGTATTCAGACTCCTTGGATTTCTTCACATTTTATTTTATTACAAAGTGGGATTAAAATTGATTTGTCATTTTTTTGTCCACAATCTACTCAAAATACTCAGTCAAAGTGGAAGAAATTAGAACATTTTGAAAGTTATTAAAAAATAAATAAAAAATAAAGAGTCGTTGCACAGGTATTCAGCACCTTTGTTTAGGCAAGCGTAAATTAGTTCAGGAGTCAAATTTGGCTCAACAAATCACATAAATTACATGGACTCACTCGTGTGACATAATAGGGGTTGAAATTATTTTTGAATGACTAACCCTTCTTCTTGTCCCCCATTCATACAAATCTGTAAGGTCCCTCAGTCAAGTATTGAATTTCAAGCACAGATTCAACTACAAAGACCAGGGAGCTTTTCGAAAGCCTCAAAGAAGGGCAGTGATTGGTAACAATAACAAATCAGTCATCGAATATCTCTTTAAGCATGGTCAAGTTAATAGATTATGCATTATACTACCCAGACAGAGATGCAGTCGTCCTTCTTAACTGAGCTGCAGTACAGGAATGAAACTGCTCAAGGATGTTACAATGAGGCCATTGGTGATTTAAAAACAGTTAGAGTTCAATGGCTGTGATGGTAGAAAACTGAGGATGGATCAACATTGTAGTGACTCCACAATAATGAGAGTGAAAAAAAATATTCCAAAACATGCATCTTGTATGCAACAAGGCACTAAAGTAATACTGAAAAAAAAAAAAAAAATGCAAAGGAATACACTTTTTGGCCTAAATGCAAAGCCTTACGTTTGGGGCAAATTCAACACAACACACCACTGAATAACTGCATCCTTATTTTCAAGCATGGTGGTGGCTGCATCATGGGATGGGTATTCTTGATATCAGAAAATACTGTGGAGTTTTTCCAGGATTAAAATAAACGGGACGGAGCTAAACACAGGCAAAATCCTAGAGGAAAACCTGCTTCAGTCTGCTTTACACTGGGAGAGGAATTCACCTTTCAACAGGACAAACCTACACAGGAGTTGTTTACCAAGAACAGTGAATGTTCCCAAGTGGCCAAGTTACAGTTTTGACTTAAATCTGCTTGAAAATCTATGGCAAGACTTGAAAATTGCCATCTAGCCATGATCCAACGTCGTCACAGAGCTTGAAGAATGTATGTATGTATGTCTACACTGTATTTCTGATCAATTTGATGTTATTTTAAATGGACTTGTTTTTGTTTTTTTGTTTTTTTTTAAACAAGGAAATGTCTAAGTGACCCCAAACTTTTGAACGGTAGTGTATACACACACACACACACACAGTTGAAGTCGGAAGTTTTACATACACCTTAGCCAAATACATTTAAACTCAGTTTTTCACAATTCCTGACATTTAATCCAAGTAAAACATTCCCTGTCTTAGGTCAGTTAGGATCACCACTTTATTTTAAGAATGTGAAATGTCAGAATAATAGTAGAGAGAATGATTTATTTCAGCTTTTATTTCTTTCATCACATTCCCAGTGGGTCAGAAGTTTACATACACTCAATTAGTATTTGGTAGCATTACCTAAAATTGTTTAACGTCGGTCAAACGTGTCAGGTAGCCTTCCACAAGCTTCCCACAATAAGTTGGGTGAATTTTGGCCCATTCCTCCTGACAGAGCTGGTGTAACGGAGTCCGGTTTGTAGGCCTCCTTGCTCGCACACGCTTTTTCAGTTCTGCCCACACATTTTCTATAGGATTGAGGTCAGGGCTTTGTGATGGCCACTCCAATACCTTCACTTTGTTGTCCTTCAGCCATTTTGCCACAAATTTGGAAGTATGCTTGGTGTCATTGTCGATTTGTGATAGGAATTAAAATATATACAGGTTAAAAGTAAATGACTAAATGTTCCACCCTTAAATATAGTTGTGAAATGTTCTTGTTTTAAGTATGATTAGTACTTTCTTAGTAGTGACTAATTATTACACTCTGAAACTGTGTGAGATGTGTTAGAATCTACTACCTGGTAATGTGTGAGTGTAGGACCAGTAAAGATTATGACATTGTGCTACTATTTAGCAATGTGAGTAAGAGTTAGGCCAGACAACAAAGGACAAGGAGAACTGTCTACAGGCAACTGAGAAACCAAGATAACTGAGGAATTTAGGGAGGAGAGATACTGTTAGGCTTGGAAGTGTGTGTGTGTGTGTATTAAAGTAATCCTTCTACCCCCCCCCCCCCCCCCCCCCAAAAAAAAATTGTAAAGTGGTTATCCCACTGGCTATAGGGTGAATGCACCAATTTGTGAGTCGCTCTGGATAAGAGCGTCTGCTAAATGACTAAAATGTAAATGTAATGTAAATGTATGTGTATGTGTATGTGTGTGTGTGAACTGATGGTCAGGAGAGCAGTTTTAAAGTGGAAAACTACAGCCCACCTACAGAGAGGAGGGATTTTTTGTATGACGTATGAGTATAAAAGATGGACTCTGAAATTGTGATGGCAGAATTCTCAATGAATAAATCTCTGACTATGCAGACCGGGACTCTGTCCGTTACTTAAATCCCAAAAGACTTACAACCTTTTGGGAGACGCACAGTGACACTGAAATAGTTTGTAAAATAATTCACGTAACAATTTGGAAGACCCATTTGCGACCAAGCTTTAACTTCCTGACTGATGTCTTGAGATGTTGCTTCAATATAGCCACAATTTTCCTTCCTCATGATGCCATCTATTTTGTGAAGTGCACCAGTCCCTCCTGCAGCAAAGCACCCCCACAGCATGATGCTGCCACCCCCGTGCTTCACGGTTGGGATGGTGTTCTTCGGCTTGCAAGCGTCCCCCCCTTTTCCTCCTAACATAACAATGGTCATTATGGGCAAAGAGCTATATTTTTGTTTCATCAGACCAGAGGACATTTCTCCAAAAAGTACGATCTTTGTCCCCATGTGCAGTTGCAAACCGTAGTCTGGCTTTTTTATGGCGGTTTTGGAGCAGTGGCTTCTACCTTGCAGAGTGGCCTTTCAGGTTATGTCGATATAGGACTCGTTTTACTGTGATATAGATACTTTTGTACCCGTCTCCTCCAGCATCTTCACAAAGGTCCTTTGCTGTTGTTCTGGGATTGAGTTGCACTTTTCGCACCAAAGTACGTTAATCTATAGGAGACAGAACGCGTCTCCTTCCTGAGCGGTATGACGACTGCGTGGTCCCATGGTGTTTATACTTCCGTACTATTGTTTGTACAGATGAACGTGGTACCTTCAGGCATTTGGAAATTGCTCCCAAGGATGAACCAGAATTGTGGAGGTCTACAATTTGTTTTCTGAGGTCTTGGCTGATTTCTTTTGATTTTCCCATGATGTCAAGCAAAGAGGCACTGAGTTTGAAGGTAGGCATTGAAATACAGCCACAGGTACACCTCCAATTGACTCAAATGATGTCAATTAGCCTTTCAGAAGCTTCTAAAGCCATGACATCATTTTCTGGAATTTTCCAAGCTGTTTAAAGGCACAGTCAACTTAGTGTATGTAAACCCACTGGAATTGTGATACAGTGAATTATAAGTGAAATAATCTGTCTGTAAACAATTGTTGGAAAAATTACTTGTGTCATGCACAAAGTAGATGTCCTAACCGACTTGCCAAAACTATAGTTTGATGACAAGAAATGTGTGGAGTGGTTGAAAAACGAGTTAATGACTCCAACATAAGTGTATGTAAACTTCCGACTTCAACTCTGTGTATTTTTTTAAAATGTCTAATATTGCACAATCCAGGTGTGTAAAGCATTCAGACTTACCCAAGACACAGCTGTAGTCGCTGCCAAACTGTGTTTCTAACATATATTGACTAAGGGAGATGAATACTTATGCAACGACTATATTTTAGTTATTTAATTTCTATGAATCTTATTTTTTTTAAATGTATGTGCCCACTTCGACAGAGTATTGTGTACATTGACACTTTAAAAGAAATTAAATACATTTTAAATCACACTTTGTAATAATACCATGTGAAGAAATCCAAGAGGTATGAATACTTTTGCAAGGCACTCTATATCTCTGATTAACACTCAATGTATGAGAACATTTTAATTAAAAAAGATTAAGAATATTACATTAAGACATTCTGTAACACGCATTTATAAAACCAACTACCTATGAAAAGTAGAGGAACATGTCGCTACAACGCTTGTCTCCATTTGCTCATTCACAACGTACTCTGTAGTATTACATTACCAAATACACTCCTTCATTCGTATTTGGACAGTGAAGATAAAACATTTTATTTGGCTATTCTCCAGAATGTTTCATATTAAGCGACAGTACAGAACGTCAGCTGTTTTATCGTTTAGAAATTAAATTAAAAGCATTTGTATCTAGTCCCCCCATTTGAAGAAGTCATAAGTATTTGGACAAATTCACACAGTGCCTCCAGAAAGTATTCATACCCCTTGACTTTTTCCACATTTTGTTGTGTTACAGCCTGAATTTAAAAATGATTAAATTTAGATTTGTCACTGGCCTACCCACAATACCCCCATAATGGAAAAGTGGAATTATGTATTACTACATTTTTACAAATTAATAAAACATGAAAAGCTGAAATGTCTTGAGTGGTAAGCCTAAATAGGTTCAGGAGTAAAAATTTGCTTAACAAGTCACATAGGTTGCTTGGACTCTGTGCAATAGTGTTTAATAGTGTGATTTATGAATGACTACCTCATCTCTGTACCCCACATACAATTATCTGTAAGATCCCTCAGTTGAGCAGTGAATTTCAAACACAGATTCAACAACAAAAGACCAAGGAGGTTTTCCAATGCCTCACAAAAAAACAAAACAGACATTGAATATCTCTTTGAGAATGGTGAAGTTATTAATTACACTTTGGATGGTGTATCAATACACCCAGTCACTACAAAGATACAGGCATCCTTAACTCAGTTGCCGAGGAAGGAAACTGCTCAGGGATTTCACCATGAGGCCGATGGTGACTTACAGAGATTAAATAGGATAGGCTGTGATAGGAGAAATCTGAGGATGAATAAACATTGTAGTTACTCCAAAATACTAACCTAATTGATAGAGTGAAAAGGAAGCCTGTACAGAATACAAATATTCCAAAACATGCATCCTGTTTGCAATAAGGCACTAAAGTAAAACTGCAAAAAATGTGAACTTTATGTCCTGAGTACGAGGCGTTTTGTTTGTGGCAAATCCAACATAACCCATTACTGAGTACCACTCTTCATATTTTCAAGCATGATCATGGCTGCATCATGTTATGGGTATGCTTGTCATCAGTATGGACTAGGGAGTTTATGATGAAAAAATAAACAGAATAAAGCTAAGCACAGGCAAAATCCTAGCGGAAAACCTGGTTCAGTCTGCTTTCCAACAGACACTGGGAAACAAATTCACCTTTCAGCAGGTAAATAATCTAAAAAACAAAGGCGAAATATACACTGAAGTTGCTTACCAAGACAACATAGAATGTTCCTGAGTGGTCCAGTTGGTTTTGACTTAAATCTTCTTGAAAATCTATGGCAAGACTTGAAAATGGCTGTCTAGCAATGATCAACAACCAACTTGCAGAGCTTGAAGAATATAAAAAAATAATAAATGTGCAAATATTGTACAATCCAGGTGTGCAAAGCGCTTAGAGACTTACCCAGAAAGACTCACAGCTGTAATCGCTGAAAAAGGTGATTCCTCATGTATTGACTCAGGGGGTTGAATACTTACCTAATCAAGATATACTGTTTGAGTATTTTATTTTTCCATTATTCTTTTTCAAATGTTAGACTTTTTCTTCCACTTTGACAGAGTATTTTGTATAGATCGTTGACAACAAAAAAAGACAAATCAATTTTAATCCCACTTTGTAACAACAAAATGTGGGAAAAGTCAAGGGGTGTGAATACTTTCTGAAGGCACTGTGTATGACAGTAGTCAAAAAGTTTAGTATTTGGTTCCATATTCCTTGCACACAATAACTACATCAAGCTTGACTCTTCAAACTTGGATGCATTTGTGGTTTGTCTTAGTTGTGTTTTGGATTATGTTTTGCCCAAAAAGTTTGATGTATTCATAGCGTGCACGTAATATGGGACCAAATACTAAACTTTGACTAATTTAATACACTAATGAATTTGTCCAAATACGAATGACTTCATCATATGAAGGACTAGATATATAAAGTGCTTTCATTTTTTAAACGGTAAAACAGATATGAAAATACCCTCAAATAAAAAGGTGACATTCTGTACTATTGCCACATATGAAACATTTGATTTCAAATCCAAAATGCTGGAGTATAGAGGCACATCATTCAGACAATAGTCTTGATGGAGTTACCACTAATTACCTCGCCACATGAAGGGTTGCCGTAAATACTCTGTTAAGTACTCGTAAAATAAGATGAGTCCAAATCATAATGGGAAAGTTTTTGGAATCTTGACAAATGGTTTGTGTGTGTGTCAAAACATTTTCTGGGATTTTCTCAAGCTTGGCAGACCAGCATCTGTGTCTCATCTGGTAGTGAGTAATTGTTGTTTCTTACGGATATGTGGTCATTTCAAAACAGTTTTTACTGTTCTAATATAAATAAATCAGTTTGCATGATACGACTTCAGAAATGTTGTTTTGTTCAGAGGAAGATATGTTACACTAATCCTGGTTCAACTATTCATATTATTACAATGACCAAAAATATTAGAATGAAACCGGATTTTAGAAGGATGCTGTACAGATGAACACGTGTATAGACGGACAGACAGACACCCTAGTATGAAAACACTGGCGTACCCCTTCATTTTTTTAGGCAAGTGTTTCATAAATCCTGGTCCTGGGGACCCAAAGGGATGTACATTTTTGATCTAGTACTGCACACTTGATTCCACTAATCAACTCAGGCCATATATAGCCCCTCTCTTTCTCCCTGTCTGCACGTACAGTATGTGTACACATGAAGGCACCCACACACACACGATGGAATAGGTTTTACAAATAGTTCAAAAAGCCTATATCCATCCAAATGTTTGGTGAAGGTTTGTTTTGATGGAATAGGCTTTTAGATCCATTTGATGGGGTTTCTGTCAACCTGTGATACAAACAGACTTACAAATGTATCCAGTAGTGCTCTCTGGATGTGTGTGACAAGTTGGTCCGGCATGGTGAGGTGGAGAGAATGAGCCTCAGTTTGGCCTGTAGGTCCTCGTGACACCAGAATGGCAGGCAGCGTCACAGAATGCTCTACAGCCCTGAGAACAGAAGTAATACATTAGAATCACTCCCTCCCCCCCAGAAGGAACTTCAATACTCATTATATGACCAAATAAGAAAAGATAGCTTCTTTCAAATCTGCCACACACACAGTTATTAGTGCAAACACACATCATATACACACACTGTGGTACTGACATCAAGCACTTCCTGGTCCATACAGTACCTTCCCTCCAGAAGACTGGGAGATGTGGTTAGCTATCTTTTACCATTTCCAGGGGAGCCCACACCCACTGAATTTGCACTGGTCCTTGGAATAACAAGGATATATGACTATACCCAAATAAGCAACCTATTCCAGAGAAATATTTGGTGGGGTTGGCATATCTATTTTACATCCAATGTACTCTTCCCACAGTCGCTGTACAAGCGCCATTAGTCGAAGTGAGACTAGTACATACATTTTTGTCATGAGATATCTGCTGTCTAGTTGGTTCACGTGACTGGTGACCAATGCATTACCGTGTTGTCTCCGTACTGCTGTACTGTTTGTTGCTACTTGGCTACATGCTAAACTTGGCCTTCGATTTTTAGTCTTAACTATTTAATCAAACTATGTATTTAACAAGTTTACCAAGGTCTTAGTTTTGTCCTTTTTTAATTCAACGCTTTATCTGGACATAGATCTGCAGGACCTCCGCTAAGTAACATGATGCCTTCTCACTGCAGTCGCAGTCCTCATAATATACAGGAGAACCATCACCTTATGGTGAGGATAGCAGAGTTGCAAGCTCGGCTTCAGACGCAATCATTAGCCAAGGGCAATTGAAGTGTAGGAAAGGAGGATATAGCATCTGTGCCACCAGTAAATACAGCCAGTAGTGTTACTCCCCCTGCACAGTCCCCGCAGCTGGACAATTTTCTCATGGCTTCTGGAAAGAAATGCTGGTCGGCATGCTCACTCAGCCGATATAAACTGTCAACCGGTTTTCCCAACTAAGCAACTAGTCATCCTTCTCAGGTCTGTCCTCCACCCGTTACGGGGTCTGAGCCTCCCACCATCAGCTCGGACAAATTGAAAACCCTAGTCACTGGCGACTCCATATTAGACTTAAAAAGAATCATCTAGCGATCATACATTGTTTACCAGGGGACAGGGCTACCGACGTAAAGGCTAATCTGAAGATGGTGCTAGACGGTATAGGGATATTGTTATCCATGTCGGCACCAACGATGTTAGGATGAAACAGTCAGAGGTCACCAAGCGCAACATAACTTCAGCGTGTAACTTAGCTAGAAAGATGTGTCGGCATCGAGTAATTGTCTTTAGCCCCCTCCCAGTTAGGGGGAGTGATGAGCTCTACAGCAGACTCGCACAACTCAATCATTGGTTGAAAACTGCTCTCTGCCCCCCAAAATAAGCAAAAATATCCTAGGCGTATGATACACTTTGAGAAGACTGAAAAAAGAAGTCCCCACACACTTGGATCAATGAAATACTACTTTCTTTAGTTCTTATCTTCCTGCACCTAAACTAGCTTGTGGGGTGTGTGGTAGATTCCTCCAGTATGATACACACACACAACACATGATTTCAAAATTAGCACGGTACCATCTTTCTGCCCGTCTGTCAGCAAACAGCCCGACCATAGTCTCTCCCCAGAGTGCTTTTGCTGCTTCCTTGAACACGGACACACCTGAGACAAGAGAGAATTCCATTTCAATTAATGATTGTTATATTCGTCAATGCCATAGGCTCCACACACACAACGCACGACACACACACACACACACGCTACCTGCGTCTGATATGGAGCTGAACAGGCCCAGTACTGTGACAGGGGCAATAGCTGCATGCTGCTGGTACAGGTCCCCCTCCAGGAATGATGTCACCTCATCAGGAGAGGACAGGAGGACAGGGGACACCAGACGACTCCTGGGTCACACACCATAAGAGAAGACAGACATGGTGATGTACAGGCCCCATGGTCTGGCGGTCTTAGTACATGTTGGGGTTTGATATCTTTCTCCCCAGCTCTTTCTAAGCTGTCTGAATAACGGACAAATGCTTTCAAATCTTTATATGAAAAAAAGACATGGTCACAAGGGCTGGCACCCTTTAGAACAGTGGTTCCAAAAACATGTCACGCAATGACCCAACAAAGCACACATCTTCCAAATAAGGAGGAAAGAATGCATCCGTTTTAAGACAAAATTGATAATGTTAGTCCAAAGATGGACTAACATTGTATCCTAACAGAAGCGCTTCCCATCCTCTTTTTTTTCCTTCTTCTACATAATGGACTTTTATAAAACATGTAGATGAAGGTAGTTCTAGCTTTGGTTTTTTGGGCCTTCCTTGAGAGAACAATATATCTGCTGTACACAACACATTTCTTGCTGAACATTCTGTAACTCTGAACCCACCTGAACAGGCCCCATAAGACTAGTATGAAGGAGATGTCCATAAGTACAATAGAATATTCTATATGTTCTATTTTACATTTGGTGGAGGTGTCACTCACAGCATGATGAACCTGTTCAGGCTCTCAGTACCCAGCATGCCTCGGTAGGGCTGGCTAGGCTCCTGTCGGCGGTACAGACGGACCGTGGGAAAGGAGCTGATTTGCTGAGCGCCACACACGTCAGTCCACTCCCCACAATCCAGCACGGCCAGCTCCACGTTGCTGACGTCAGCGTCTTATAGATAGACAGCGAGACAGATGGAGGGACAGACATGCATAATGTCAACTGGATAGGCTACATATACAGTTCACTGACATTCCTGAAGACGCCAAATAGATACAGTCAACAGATACCAAATACATACAGAAAAAATGGCATAAGTAGCCAACAGTCAGACATTGATCTGACGGACCAGATGAAAATAGTTCTATTGACTGAGCCTAAATTGTCTTATTGACCACAAGGTCACCACACGGTCTTAGTGGGACTCGTCTTATTGACAGAGTCAAAAAAGGTCATATTGATTAACTGTCAAGATTATCAGGGAACTCACCGAACCCCTTTTGCTTCAAGTACAAGAAACTGATAGAACACTGAAAGGAGAACTGCTGAAATCAACCATTCAAATGCATGTTTTAATCCATTACCTTCTAGGGATTCCGACACCTCTATGTAGGACTGCATGAAGGCCATGGAGACCGCGTCCCCTGGTGGAGAAAAACAGAACCACTCTTACATTTCAATACAGAAATGTAGTGTGACAGTAACATAATTGTAAAAGTAGTAAAATAAACATTTTAAGGTGGCATCCATATCTTAAATTACAGGACCGAGGGGTGTCTTTGAAAATATTTTACACTAGCCTGGGCACCGGTCATCCTACCAAAACACATGTTTGGTATGGCAAGGAGTTGACATGATAGCACAAAGAGATCTGAGACCAGGCTACTTGTACATAGATTTATGCTTATATAGAACTGTGCGTGTTTTGAGACACTTTCTTTGCCATGGCAATTCTGAATCATAAAATATCTTTGAACATTATGATAATCAAACAAAGGAAATGTGTGTTTAAAATGTAGAATGTATAGCAACTAGGGCTGACCCCATTTAGTCAACTGGATTGAGGATATAGGCTGTTGCTCGACCAAGATTTTTTTAGTCGAGCAGACGCATTTTTGAAAAAAAAAAAATTGCGCAACATGAGCTCATGGGCTCTCATTAAGTGTTTGATTAGATTTTCGATCACATTTGCATTTTTGTCAGAGTGTAGCGTTTGCAACGCCAGGGTTGTGGGTTTGTTTCCCACTGGGGGCCAGTATGAAAATGTATGCACTCACTAACTGTAAGTCGCTCTGGATAAGAGCGTCTGCTAAATGACTAAAATGTAATAGAGGGACAATAGAGTGCTGAGTACCAGGCAGTTAGCAAGTTTGGTAGGCTACTAATGACCATCAACAGCATCAGAGCTTGGAGAAGCCTAATTACAGTGACTAAATGGTCACGTGGAATTTGACTGCCTTCATGACTCGTAACCGCCGGTGTGGTGGTAATATGGTCACCGCAACAGCCCTGCTCATGATTCCAATCCTACATTGGAGTCATTCCACATCCCTTTTGATTAGCTGAGGTGATTGGGTCAAGTGTGAAACGCTCTATTTAGAAACAATTGATCCTTGATTGCGATACGGTTTTGGAAACCTTGAACACAACATATCATCCAAAAATAACAAATACAAAAGATAAACCTCAGTGGTAAAACAGTAAGTGTGTGTAACGGCTTCGAGCCAAATATATACAGTGAGGGAAAAAAGTATTTGATCCCCTACTGATTTTGTACATTTGCCCACTGACAAAGACATGATCAGTCTATAATTTTAATGGTAGGTTTATTTGAACAGTGAGACACTTTCTTTCAAAATAACAAAAAAATCCAGAAAAACACATCAAATGTTATAAATTGATTTGCATTTTAATGAGGGAAATAAGTATTTGACCCCTCTGCAAAACATGACTTAGTACTTGGTGGCAAGACCCTTGTTGACAATCACAGAGTTCAGACGTTTCTTGTAGTTGGCCACCAGGTTTGCACACATCTCAGGAGGGATTTTGTTCCCACTCCTCTTTGCATATCTTCTCCAAGTCATTAAGGTTTCGAGGCTGACGTTTGGCAACTCGAACCTTCAGCTCCCTCCACAGATTTTCTATGGGATTAAGGTCTGGAGACTGGCTAGGCCACTCCAGGACCTTAATGTGCTTCTTCTTGAGCCACTCCTTTGTTGCCTTGGCCATGTGTTTTGGGTCATTGTCATGCTGGAATACCCATCCACGACCCATTTTCAATGCCCTGGCTGAGGGAACGAGGTTCTCACCCAAGATTTGACGGTACATTTCCCCGTCCATCATCCCTTTGATGCGGTGAAGTTGTCCTGTCCCCTTAGCAGAAAAATACCCCCAAAGCATAATGTTTCCACCTCCATGTTTGATGGTGGGGATGCGTTTTTCTGGATTTTTTTGTTGTTATTCTGTCTCTCACTGTTCAAATAAACTTACCATTACAATTATAGACTGATCATTTCTTTGTCAGTGGGCAAACGTACAAAATCAGCAGGGGATAAAATACTTTTTCCCCTCACTGTATGTATGTATGTATGTATGTATGTATGTATGTATGTATGTATGTATGTATGTATGTATGTATGTATGTATGTATATATATATATATACACACACACACACACACACACACACACAGTGGGGAGAACAAGTATTTGATACACTGCCGATTTTGCAGGTTTTCCTACTTACAAAGCATGTAGAGGTCTGTAATTTGTATCATAGGTACACTTCAACTGTGAGAGACGGAATCTAAAACAAAAATCCAGAAAATCACATTGCATGATTTTTAAGTAATGCATTTGCATTTTATTGCATGACATAAGTATTTGATACATCAGAAAAGCAGAACTTAATATTTGGTACAGAAACCTTTGTTTGCAATTACAGAGATCATACGTTTCCTGTAGGTCTTGACCAGGTTTGCACACACTGCAGCAGGGATTTTGGCCCACTCCTCCATACAGACCTTCTCCAGATCCTTCAGGTTTCGGGGCTGTCGCTGGGCAATACGGACTTTCAGCTCCCTCCAAAGATTTTCTATTGGGTTCAGGTCTGGAGACTGGCTAGGCCACTCCAGGACCTTGAGATACTTCTTACGGAGCCCCCCCCCCTTAGTTGCCCTGGCTGTGTGTTTCGGGTCGTTGTCATGCTGGAAGACCCAGCCACATCCCATCTTCAATGCTCTTACTGAGGGAAGGAGGTTGTTGGCCAAGATCTCACGATACATGGCCCCATCCATCCTCCCCGCAATACGGTGCAGTCGTACTGTCCCCTTTGCAGAAAAGCATCCCCAAAGAATGATGTTTCCACCTCCATGCTTCACGGTTGGGATGGTGTTCTTGGGGTTGTACTCATCCTTCTTCTTCCTCCAAACACGGCGAGTGGAGTTTAGACCAAAAAGCTCTATTTTTGTCTCATCAGACCACATGACCTTCTCCCATTCCTCCTCTGGATCATCCAGATGGTCATTGGCAAACTTCAGACGGGCCTGGACATGCGCTGGCTTGAGCAGGGGGACCTTGCGTGCGCTGCAGGATTTTAATCCATGACGGCGTAGTGTGTTACTAATGGTTTTCTTTGAGACTGTGGTCCCAGCTCTCTTCAGGTCATTGACCAGGTCCTGCCATGTAGTTCTGGGCTGATCCCTCACCTTCCTCATGATCATTGATGCCCCACGAGGTGAGATCTTGCATGGAGCCCCAGACCGAGGGTGATTGACCGTCATCTTGAACTTCTTCCATTTTCTAATAATTGCGCCAACAGTTGTTGCCTTCTCACCAAGCTGCTTGCCTATTGTCCTGTAGCCCATCCCAGCCTTGTGCAGGTCTACAATTTTATCCCTGATGTCCTTACACAGCTCTCTGGTCTTGGCCATTGTGGAGAGGTTGGAGTCTGTTTGATTGAGTGTGTGGACAGGTGTCTTTTATACAGGTAACGAGTTCAAACAGGTGCAGTTAATACAGGTAATGAGTGGAGAACAGGAGGGCTTCTTAAAGAAAAACTAACAGGTCTGTGAGAGCCGGAATTCTTACTGGTTGGTAGGTGATCAAATACTTATGTCATGCAATAAAATGCAAATTAATTACTTAAAAATCATACAATGTGATTTTCTGGATTTTTGTTTTAGATTCCGTCTCTCACAGTTGAAGTGTACCTATGATAAAAATTACAGACCTCTACATGCTTTGTAAGGGGCGGCAGGTAGCTTAGTGGTTAAGAGCGTAGTGCCAGTAACCGAAAGGTCGCTGGTTCTAATCCCCGAGCCGACTAGGTGAAAAATCTGTCGATGTGCCCTTGAGCAAGGCACTTAACCCTAATTGCTCCTGTAAGTCGCTCTGGATAAGAGCGTCTGCTAAATGACTAAAATGTAAATGTAAGTAGGAAAACCTGCAAAATCGGCAGTGTATCAAATACTTGTTCTCCCCACTGTATATATTTTATATATATATATATATTTTTTTTTTTCTCCCCTCCAGAGTTTCCATTATATGTCAGTAAGTGTATCTTTTGTATTTGTAAAATAATTTCTGATTGCATGTGGTGGTTATTAACATGCGTCAGAACAGTTCTACACATTGGCCCCAACGGGGTCAATTGTTCAAATGAGAACTTTATGACTGTATGGCCTTGGGTTCTCGAGAGTAGTACATGTAAGATGAATCAAGTTAGCCACCTAGCCATTTTTCTCTCTCCCAGTTAGCTAGTGAGTGATGCACAAGCTAGGCCTTTTTTAACCATCGACATATCCTGCCCGCATTTACATGCCAGGTTCAATAGCTTGAAAACCCCATTAGATTAGAAGTAAAAAGAAATAAACAAATAATTATGGTTTTTATTTAGTTTGAGTCAAAGATAGTTTCAGTATAGTTGTAGTTTTTCATTTTTTATAGTAAAAAAAAAAACAGTAAGAGACACCCTCAGAGAGAGAAGAAAGGCTTGGGAGTATGAGGAGCAAGGACTGAATGGACTGTACTCACTGAAAGTCCTGGCCCCTAAACATAGCCAGTTTCCACTACCACAAACAGCACCTGCCTAAGCAGAATAAACTATTTCTGTTCCACAAGCACATGGAGATGAGGCGCAAGGTTGACTTTTAAAGGAGAGTGAGGAGGGAATTCTACGAGGATGGAGTTTCTCATCTTTTCTGATTAAGAGAGATGGAGAAACCGGAAGCCATCCAGGGATGTTGGCTGCCGATATGGGCTTCCCGTGAATCTCTGATTTATTTTGTAGAAGTAGTAGCAAGATAAAACAGCATAAGATAGGATTGGTAGGTATAGCAAGTTTGATAAGTGTAAGTTGTCCATTTTATAATACAAATATTTTAAGTGTTTTTTTTTGTGTGTGTGCGCATTTTAATTCTAGCCTTATTTCAGCTTGTGGCCACAGGCGATAAATAAATAACAGATTGCACCTTAAAACCTCATACAGAACGATATAAAAGCAACATGCTCACATTTCACATAGAACAGCACTACCGTGTGGTCGCTCTCTGCCACTGCGCTGTGGAATGTGTCAGCAGTGAGTTCTGTGACAGCATCCATGTCCAGACTCTGGCCCCTGTCTCTGTACACAGACTCTGCCACCTCGTCATCCAGCACATCTAGTGACAAAGAAACAGTCAACCAATCAGCCCAGAAATACAACATATACAGAATAATGTCATACAGTGGGAGCAGAGTGCTATACAACGTTTCATTTAATACACAACCCTCTATCTACACACCTGCCTAGGGAGTAGGGGCTAGACAAGTTTCTACAAGACCCCTTCTTATTTAATGTAATAAAAGAATGTAATATAAAAAAAAAAAGGGTTTAGGGTAATGAAACATTGTATAGAGCAGAGAACTGAAAGTGAATTTCTAATTATTATTAAAATGTTTGTTTACGGTCACCATTTAGTTTTCTGTGATCTGGTTTCTTGTTGGTATTAAAATATACGTACAATTTGTTTATGATGTTGACCTGAAACAAGGAAAATTAAATAATACAAATATATATATCTACAACAAGACCCCTTCTTACCAAGAGTGGCCCAATTTTCATCGTCCTCCTCCTCCGCCGCCTCCTCCTCCTCCTCCGGAGTACTCTCATCTCTGAACAGGTCGATAACCTCCTCTAGGTTGTTCAGAATTAGGTACTTGACCTCTGAACCCTGACAAACACAGCATATGGTTAGTGTCTAATTGTATGTAACTTTTGAGCAGTGGAAATAATTTATCCTTGAAGGACAATAAACATCAATCAATATACAGCTCTGGAAAAAATTAAGAGACCACTGCAAATGTTTCTTTAAAATCAGCATCTCTACATGTATGATAGCCATTGCATTCCAGTGTCTGTTGAATTCCAACACAGGCACACCTCATTCTACTGAATTAGGTACTGATTAGGTGATCACCTGAACCAAATGTTATTTAACGAGGAAAGTATAAAAACCACTGCTGTGGTCATCACTATCCTCTTGCAATAGGACCAGCTGCATGGCAAAAACAGTGCTAATAGTACCTCAAAAGTAATATTAATCAAAAAATAACAATTGACCATGCCAAAAGAGTTGAAAAGGAAAGTTTTGAGTGAGGAAAAGAAGGGTTCAATTCTGGCTTTACTGGCAGAGGGATACAGTGAGTGTCAGGTTGCTTCCATCCTTAAAATGTCAAAGACGGCGGTTCATAAGAACAAGGTCAAGCAGCAGACATTGGGGACAACAAAGCTACAGACCGGCAGAGGGCGAAAACGACTCTACTGACCGGGATGACCGCCAACTCATTCGAATGTCACTAAACAACCGTAGGATGACATCAAGTGACCTACAAAAAGAATGGCAAACGGCAGCTGGGGTGAAGTGCACGGCGAGGACGGTTCGAAACAGGCTCCTAGGGGCAGGGCTGAAGTCAATGAGAAGCAAAGAAGAGCCAGGCTGAGGTTTGCAAAAGACCATAAGGATTGGACCATAGAGGACTGGAATTGGTCATCTTCTCTGATGAGTCCAATTTTCAGCTTTGCCCAACACCTGGTTGTCTAATGGTTAGACGGAGACCTGGAGAGGCATACAAGCCACAGTGTCTCGCACCAACTGTGAAATTTGGTGGAGGATCGGTGATGATCTGGGGGTGCTTCAGCAAGGCTGTAAGCGGGCAGATTTGTCTTTGTGAAGGACGCATGAATCAAGCCACGTACAAGGTTGTCCTGGAAGAAACCTTGCTTCCTTTTGCTCTGACATTGTTCCCAAACTCTGAGGATTGCTTTTTCCAGCAGGAGAATGCGCCATGCCACACAGCCAGGTCAATCAAGGTGTGGATGGAGGACCACCAGATCAAGACCCTGTCATGGCCAGCCCAATCTCCAGACCTGAACCCCATTGAAAACTTCTGTAATGTGATCAAGAGGAAGATGGATGGTCACAAGCCATCAAACAAAGCCGAGCTGCTTGAATTTTTGCACCAGGAGTGGCATAAAGTCACCCAACATCAATGTGAAAGACTTGTGGAGAGCATGCCAAGACGCATGAAAGCTGTGATTGAAAATCAGGGTTATTCCACCAAATATTGATTTCCTAAGCGGTGAGATGTCTTGGGGGTATGATATTTGTGCGTCTAACTTTCTCACTCATCATTATTCACAATTCATTCAGGATTATCCGTAATCTTGGTAGCATCCACATTAATGTAGAAGTGTTTAGAAAAAATATGATATTCTTATTTACAATAAGTGAGATTATTTATCCATTATTTTCTATAGGGCACAAAGTAATCTAAATAACAACCAAAACAAACAGCAAATGCATCCAACAAACGTGTAGAGTCACAAGCTTGATGTAGTCATTGCATGCTATGAACATGAATTTGGTCCCCTAAAAATGGGGGGGACTATGTATAAAAAGTGCTGTAATTTCTAAACGGTTCACCCGATTTGGATGAAAATCCCCTCAAATTAAAGCAGACAGTCTGCACTTTAACCTCATAGTAATTGGATCATTTCATTCCAAAATGCTGGACTACAGAGCCAAAACAAAAAATGTGTCACTGTTCCAATACTTTTGGAGCTCACTAACTAAGCCTGGTGGTATGGCCATCAAATAATATTTAGTTGGGAGAAATGGATTTATTTCTATAAAGCCATTTATGTAACTTGCTAAATAATAAAAAAGGACTCACCTCTCCTGGTAGTTTATAAGCAGCATTGTATTCCAGTGGGGTTTTAACATCAGGACTCTCTCTGCCACAGATAGGAAAGAATGGTCAGTTTAGTCATGTTAATTCAATGGTCACTTCAAGTAGATCTGAAAGGATTGCATAGGTATACAGTCGTGGTCAAAAGTTGAGAATGACACAAATACTAATTTTCACAAAGTCTGCTGCCTCAGTTTTGATGATGGCAATTTGCATATACTCCAGAATGTCATGAAGAGTGATCAGATGAATTGCAATTAATTGCAAAGTCCCTCTTTGCCATGAAAATGAACTTTATCCCCCAAAAACATTTCCACTGCATTTCAGCCCTGCCACAAAAGGACCAGCTGCCATCACGTCAGTGATTCTCTCTTTAACACAGGTAAGAGTGTTGACAAAGCTGGAGATCACTCGGTCATGCTGATTGAGTTAGAATAACAGACTGGAAGCTTTAAAAGGAGGGTGGTGCTTGAAATCATTGCTCTTGCCCAGTCTGTTAGATAAGGGTCTCCAGCTTCAGAGATTTTTGCAGTTCGTTCCAGTCATTTGCAGCAGAGAACTGGAACGAACTGCAAAAATCTCTGAAGCTGGAGACACTTATCTCCCTCACTAACTTTAAGCATCAGTTGTCAGAGCAGCTTACTGATCACTGCACCTGTACACAGCCCATCTGTAATTAGCCCACCCAACTACCTCATCCCCATATTGTTATTTACATTATTATTTATTTTGCTCATTTGCACCCCAGTATCTCTATTTGCACATCATCTTCTGCACATCTATCACTCCAGTGTTAATACTAAATTGTAATTATTTTACACTATGGCCTATTTATTGCCTTACCTCCATAACTTTCTACATTTGCACACACTGTATATAGATTTTCTATTGTGTTATTGACTGTACGTTTTGTTTATTCCATATGTAACTCTGTTGTTGTTTTTATCACACTGCTTTGCTTTATCTTGGCCAGGTTGCAGTTGTAAATGAGAACTTGTTCTCAACTGGCTTACCTGGTTAAATAAAGGTTAAATAACAAATAAAATAAAAATGAACACAACCCAACAAAAGGTAGGATGAGCCAGTGTTGTCATGGCCCTCTGCTGGTACTGACCTGTGGATGAGCACCAGGCCCACCTGGCCTCTCAGCGTCCAGGCTAGAGTTTGGGCCGTGGCCCGGTCAAGGGCCACCGTGTGGGGTTGGGAGAAGAGGAAGAGCAGGGGCACCTGGAGGTGGCTGTGGACAACCTTTACCTCTGAGGGCTCCACCGAGGCTTCGCTCTGATAGGGAGAGAAAGAGTTAAATTGTACAAACTTTTTAAATCCCAGACGGTAGAGAATGGGTTTGTCACAGACAGGAACAATACTGACAAAAAGATGTGCAGCAAAATCACTACACTTCCACCAACAAGGGATACATGTAGTATGCCTGTAGCCTAAGAATCGCTAATCAAACTGTTGTCTTAGCATGAAAGCTGTTTTATTTGCTTGTTTTGAAGTTGTCAACAATATATTCACTTCAAAGACAAGGGAAGCATAGACACTGTAGCAGGGACTGGCAGAGGGAGGATGGCTACCGTATTCGCTTTCAGTCTGAAATCAACCACCAGCTAGGGAGTAGGGACTGATTTGAGACTGGGCAACCTGGCTTCTCACCACCAGTGGGGCTTCCATCAGCTGGAGGAAGGTGTAGATGTGGAGGGTGGTGAGCGCCCTCCTTAGGGCCGTGTGTGGACAGGGGTCTGAGTGCTGGGACTGGGACACACCCTTACAGTGCAGGAACCACAGACCTGCTGTCAGAGACGAAGGATCCTCCACCCTGCAATATGGCACAAGAGGAAGATGACACCAATAGTTGTAATATGCCAAATTCTAAATTGTGTCCAGGCACCTACCCTTTTGTGTGATCTGAAAGAATGAGATAAGTGTAAGCAACATTGGGAAAAGTCAATTTAGACCATCAATGGCTCCGGGTAACATATCCAAACTTTCAGATCTACACAAAATGTCTACGGGTCATTTGGGAGTTGAGCAATAGTCTAAGCCTTAGATATCTAGAAACAGGATTCTAGTTACCTTGTCATGGTGCAGACCCATTTGGTCATACATTCCATGCATATCACATGGGCATCTACGTATATCATCCAGGGTTATTATCAGTTTTTCACATTTCATACAGAAGAGGTTATGATGTTTCAAATGCATATTCTTTAATACACTGTTTCATCACGTTTGTGTTCAGTAGAGAGAAAACAGTTTGAAACAAGAGTGAAAGGGGGAGGTACATCCTGTATTTGACCAATAAAACAAAGATTTTTGTTTTCCGTTAGACTTGGGTGTTATCCAGATGGTCGTTATAAAGGTATGACATTGTGCCATCCCGGGATATTTCGGTAATACAGACACTGAACACAAGGGACACTATTTTCAAACCCCACTGAGCCTCTGTAATCTGAAGGTTAGCAATGCTAACAAGTATATGTAAATTCCCATAGCGAATGCTAGCTAAATGCTAGTGAGCACATTGCGAACATCTTATACAGTCTCTGACAAACTATTTGCAGGACAGACAACCCAGCTCATAAAGTTTTACAAGTAACTAAAAAAAAATGCTACTCACCAAACAAATATTAGACAGCAAGGCTCTTGACCCAGGACGGGATTCTCTGTTGTTACCTAGCAAAGCTTGATTTTGAAAGAAGCTAACCAGCTAGATAACTACTAAGTTATCAAACCAAATACACAACTGCAGAGCAGTTATGTAATAGTTATAAGATATCTAGTTGGCAAACGGTTGTGAATTACATACTGCAACTATATGGATCACCTGGCACACAACAGTGACTCTGCGTTTACACTAGGAAGTGGCATCGCCCGGTGAAACATCAGAAGCCATTCACTTTCAATGGAAGGAAAGCGAGAGAAGCGGACTGGGCTGGGGGACCGTTGAGCAATGCGAGCATGGGCGAGGGAGCTGAACAGGGTGGAACTAAAGTTGGGGAAAGTTGAAGTTGATTCAAATTCTCTGCGATATTGCGACGCAAGTGACCAAACGAAGCTCACCATAACTTCCAACCTCTACTGGATTGGCTGACAACGGCTGATAATACATAGCACTACCTAGCTTGCTTGCTAGCACCCACATGAGGAGTGCCGCTTGTATAGTGTAAACGGACAGTAAGTGACACACAAGACTCCGGTCTCTCATCGTTGTGTGCTTGTAAATAAATACCACGTGACTGTGGATTACCGGTAAACTTCATAAATGGCCATAATAAAAATAAAAAACTGCAGGTATTTACTTAAAAAGTAGCAACAAATATTCAAATTTATAAAAACACTTCAACGGTATTGAAAAAACATCCCATGGCCATTTCCAAATACTCCGGTATACACTGTATACTGCCCAAGCCTATTTTCCTTTGGAAAATGTTTTGCCAACGCTGTTCTCTACTGAACACAACCCAGCTTTATCTTGTGACTGGGCAGAGGTGGCCTCTTTGGCTTGGATGGGGATCCCGAGGGGGCTACGGATGGAAGAACACTGACCCCATGTTCGTCAGCACTGGGCCTCCTGTGGTCAGCACAAACTGGTACTTGGCTCCGTACACAAACGCTGTCTCCATCAACGCCCGGTGCTCTGGATAGAATGACAGAACAGGGACGTGAAGGTTACACCGAATGACAAAACAACTCAGAGAAGTGAGTACAAAGTGTTAGGATGCACTAAAATGGAACCAAGGGGTTGAATAGCAAAATAATTCAGATAGAAAGGAATGTATGATGTATGAAAACTACTTTCACCCTTGGCTACAATTCAATAGTCTAAACTGGATTTCTTTTAAATCTGGAGTCATCTGAAAACCTAGGCTGGGTGAAAGCAATATGCCCTCTGAGATGAGGAGTGAGGAAACCTCAGACTAATTGAGATGCACCCCTTGTGGTTTATTTTCTTATTATTAACCTATTAAAGGTAGTGTGGGAGACTGGACCTTACCTGGTAAGCCCAACACCTGGACGTGGCCTAGCACAATGTCAGCCTTGCCTTTAGCTGCCCTCTCCACTGACTGTAGCTCAGCAATTGTATGGATGTACCTCACCTCATCAAAAAGCACAGTGCTGAGAGGGGGACAGGTCACAGATAGATGAATACAAATAATATATGGCCATTCTAATAAATAAATGCCCTCGTCTAGCAGGTCACTGTACACAAATTAGTGAAATGCACTCGTACATGTCATTGTTCCATTGTGCAACAGTACTCAAGATTTACTCAATCCTACAGGTTGCTTGTAGGAAAGTATTCAGACCCCTTTTTGTTACATTACAGCCTTATTCTAAAATGGATTGCATTTTTTAAATAATATGCCATTTAGCAGACGCTTTTATCCAAAGCGACTTACAGTCATGCGTGCATACATTTTTTTTGTGTATGGGTGGTCCCGGGGATCGAACCCACTACCTTGGCGTTATAAGCGCAGTGCTCTACCAGCTGAGCTACAGAGGACCACACACAATACCCCATAATAAAGCAAAAACAGGCTTAGAAATGTTTGCAAATGTATAAAAAATATATAAAACAGAAATACCTTATTTACATGAGTATTCAGACCCTTTGCTATGAGACTTGAAATTGAGCTCCGGTGCATCCTGTTTCCATTGATAATCCTTGAGATGTTTCTACAACTTGATTAGAGTTCACCTGTGGTAAATTCAATTGATTGGACATGATTTGGAAAGGCACACACCTGTCTATACAAGGTCCCACAGTTGACAGTGCATGTCAGAGCAAAAACCAAGCCATGAGGTCGAAGGAATTGTCTGTAGAGCTCCGAGACAGGATTGTGTCGAGGCACAGATCTGGGGAAGGGTACCAAAAAATGTCTGCAGCATTGAAGGTCCCCAAGAACATAGTGGCCTCCATCATTCTTAAGTGGAAGAAGTTTGGAACGCCCAGCCAAACTGAGCAATCGGGGGGAGAAGGGCCTAACCAGGGAGGGAGGTAACCAAGAACTGTATATATATTTTTCTCTGTTGTATTTTTGACTTTGTTTTGTTTTACCCCATATGTAACTCTGTGTTGTTGTTTTTATCACACTGCTTTGCTTTATCTTGGCCAGGTCGCAGTTGTAAATGAGAACTTGTTCTCAACTGGCTTACCTGGTTAAATAAAGGTGAAATAAAAAATTTAAAATAAAAAGAACCCGATGGTCACTCTGTCAGAGCTCCAGAGTTCCTCTGTGGAGATGGGAGAACCTTCCAGAAGGACAACCATCTCTGTAGCACTCCACCCATCAGGCCTTTCTGGTAGAGTGGCCAGATGGAAGCCACTCCTCAGTAAAAAGGCACATGACAGCCCACTTAGAGTTTGCCAAAAGGCACCTAAAGGACTCTCTGACCATGAGAAACAAGATTCTCTGGTGTGATGAAACTAAGAATGAACTCTTTGGCCTGAATGCCAAGCATCATGTCTGGAGGAAACCTGGCACCATCCCTACGGTGAAGCATGGTGGTGGCAGCATCATGCTGTGGGGATGTTTTTCAGCGGCAGGGACTGGGAGACTAGTCAGGATCGAGGCAAAGATGAATGGAGCAAAGTACAGAGAGATCCTTGATGAAAAGTGCTCTGGAGCAGGTTAGGACCTCAGACTGGGGTGAAGGTTCACCTTCCAACAGGACAACGACCCGAAGCAAACAGCCAAGTCAATGCAGGAGTGGCTTCAGGCCAAGTCTCTGAATGTCCTTGAGTGGCCCAGCCAGAGCCCAGACTTGAACCCCATCGAACATCTCTGGAGAGACCTGAAAATAGCTGTGCAGCAACTCTCCCCATCCAACCTGACAGCGCTTGAGAGGATCTGCAGAGAAGAATGGGAGAAACTCCCCAAATACAGGTGTGCCAAGCTTGTAGCGTCATACCCAAGATGTATGCACTAACTGTAAGTCGCTCTGGATAAGAGCGTCTGCTAAATGACTAAAATGTAAATGTCGAGGCTGTAATCGCTACCAAAGGTTTTTACTCCATTTTAGAATAAGGCTGTAATGTAACAAAATGTGGAAAAAGTCAAGAGGTCTGAACACTTTCCAAATGCACTGTATCGTTTTAATCACTCAAATTCATAGTCAGGATATCACAATTATTGTTTTAACCATGTTTTGATGCTATACAGTGTTTGTTTACAAACATTGGAATAGAAGCTTATTTGGGTTCTGATGGGGTACGACAGTTAAACTAAGCTCATGAGGCATTTCTAAGTTATATTCTTCAAGAATATAAGAATCAATGGGTACATACTGTATCATAAATGTTTACAAATGTCCAAAAATGGATGTAGCAAGCAACTGCTGATTGCCCCTGTAACCACTATAGAGGTTATACAAGATCGAACCCTGTATCAGTGTTTAGGGGCAATGTTTACAAACTCTGTACTCACAAGAGAACGTGAGACACTATGGCGTTCACGTCGAAAACTGTGTCAGTGTCGAAGCTCTTCAGGACATTGCCACCCCTGCAAGACAACATAGATAATAGAATAGTTTATTGTTCATTTTTGTCAGAAACATCTGCTCATCTCAAACCATAAGCTGTGTTTTAAAATCACATTGTATAGGTGTAATATGCATGTACTGTTAGCACAAGATTAAATCAAGCTGCTTAAGATCCACGATGGATATACAATACATACCTGAACAAATACACTTTTTTCATCAGCTTCTCTCCAGTGCAGTACTTTGCTATGTGTTCATCAGTACAATTTACCTGCAAACATGCATAGGCATTGAAAACAATTAATTTCAAACATAGAGCAAAGTAAACAAACCTTCACATACAGTGCAAAAATTGCAGTGCAAAACTGATCAAAGTGGTCAAAGAAAATACCTGCACTCCGGGTCTCTAAAAGGAGCTCTTTGGCAGCCAGCAATGCATACTACAGCCGACAACTATACAGTCCTTTCAAAAACCCATACCATTTCTTATAATAACAATATGCCAGTGCCAATTTTGTCTTATTTGTTGTGGAATGAACAACGAAAGTTGGTCCAATTTGCAAGTAGAATCAACAACATGCGGTGTTGTCAAACAATCCAGCACTCCAGTGACATCAAAATAAAACTATTTTGAAAGACAGATATTAAAGTATATAATCACCCAAGGTTCCCATCAATATCAAATTTCTCCTTGTGCAACATTGACTCAGCAAAAGCCACAGTGGTGCTTTGAGTAAGACAAGGGATAAAGATGTGTTGGTTACCATAGCAACTGAAATACCATAATCTTCTAGTGCGTCAGCAGACTTCTCCAGCTGTTCAATGAAGAGACATATGGTTGGATTGACTGGTAATCAAAAAGAAAAAGAGATGGAAATATCATGTATATATTATAATAATAGAAGGTACCAACGTTAATAGTAAACACAATTATTGTGTTATTAACTACATTATTAAACTGCACTACAAATGGCAAACATACTGTAATGAAACAAGGGAATGGCACGAGGTAACTAGCGGGCAGCGAACCCCACAGGCATGCCCTAACCAGTAGCCACAACTCCAATAAGGATATAATCCCCCATTGGGGAAGGTGGTATGGCGATTATTAACTAGGGTCATTACAATACTATTTAGTATTTGATTAACCCATGCCTAGGTAGGCTCATTGCAATCTGTGAGTTAACCCTGTTAGAGCAGTGGCTAGCGAGCTTGCCTGCGAGTTGAGAGTCAGGTTTGCACTATCGCCGTTCGTTACATACTAAATCCCTCACGTGCGCCTCTCCGAGGGCCTCAAGCGTGCCATCCAACTCCTGACACCAATGTAGCAAATGGTGCCAGTGCAACGCCCCTTGCAAGTCTTGAACCCGGGCCTGCCAGACACTTTGGGGAGATTAATGTCCCTACCTGAGCAACGGTCGTAAACTGCAACTGTTAAGAGTATTCAGTGCAATATGTCCACCGGCAAGTCTACAGGGCATCTTGGTGGCTCATATTTTTCTCACCTGTTAATGATACTTACCTTGGTTTCCAAAGTATATAAAAGACGTCTTTCCTGATTGCATTTTCTCGAAAAAATGGTCAGCTGTGTGCTCAATTAGTTTTGAGGCATTTCCAGTTGTGCATTGCTCACTTTTTGAGCATAGCAAAAGTATGACGACACATATGAACCATGCCATGGTCGATGAAGGCTCGAGCCTAACATGTAGTTAAATTGAACTGACAAAATCTAGTAGCGATGACTGCAATACTTTCGATGATGCAAGCTGGCTAGCTCTGTTATGGCATAACGTTGGCTACACTAGTCAGCTATCTAGCTAACGTAGCCAGACAAGGACCATTTAAATTCCATAACCCCGATATGGGCACTCTATTAATACATTGCAGAAGCATTTTATATAACTAACTTTTCGACAATTTAAACGAGCTGTTTTTTTACTTGCTTTTTGTGAAATTATGTAGCTAAACTACCCAAGCGAAAGAGGACCGCTAGAACGTTTGGTTGTTTTATCTTCCTGTGTCCCAGCTAACTAGCCAATCAGAGTGTTGGATTTCTTTAAAGAAGTTCACAGCCAATCGAAAATTAAGAGGGCTGCACTTTTAGAGCTGACATCACTGCAAGCCAATCACAAAGAAGTATTCTGGAGGTTGGGTACCATACTGACCAATGATGAAATAGTGGGTGGAGAGTGATATAGATAAGCGGATATCGACTGAAAATGGACATCATTGTGGTTCTAATGCGAGGCATTTCAGTGATTTCAAGGCAATATGTGATCAAAAGGGAGCCAAGATGGCGTTAGAAGAGCGCTAGTTCAAGGCTGCATCTTATTGGTCAGGAGGCGGGCCCTAAACTGCAGCTTCACTCAGCTGATCTCTCCCAGCTTCACGTCCCTTTTTTTCTTGAGTTGTTTTTTTGCACAGATGAGCTGCTTTGCAGAGACTGGAGGGTTTTCTTGTTTGTCTGTTTTATATCTATAGCTGTAAAGTCATCCGTTCTGTCGCTAACCCTCGGATTTCTGTAGGTAGATGGTTAGTTAGGTAGTGTAGTTTTATCAAGCTCGAGCTTTTGGCTTTGAGTGGACGTCTATCTATCTATTTATCTATTTTTATTTTATATATATTTTTTTACAAAATTCGGGGAAAAATACATCAAAAGCTGGAATGAAACATTAGATATGCTTATTTCAGTCGTTGTTACACTTATCCATTCGCTATGTTGTTGAAAGAAAACCAGGTCAGTTTAAGTGTTTTCACGTCTGTAACGGACTCAAGTGATGAACCGATTCGAGCTGCGTTTCCTCCGTCTGTGGAGCTCGGACTCACCATTGTGTATACCATCCTATATTCGCTGCTTTTTGTGTTTGTTTACTTGCAACTTTGGCTCATTTTGCGTTATGGACACAAGCGCTTCAGCTACCAGAGTGTCTTTCTTTTTCTCTGTTTACTGTGGTCAGCGCTAAGGACTACATTATTTTCATTCTACTTCAAGAACGTTGTCCAAGCAAACCAGTTGCAGCCTTTGCCTTACTGGCTTTTGTACTGTTTTCCAGTATGCCTCCAGTTTTTCACTCTGTGTCTGCTCAATCTTTATTTTGCACAGGTAAGTGCATGTTCTATATTGATACATTTTCTGATGTTGCGGTCATGTTTTTCATGTACACACAATCAGACGTCTGTCATAAGTTGTCTTTATTATAGGCCTATCAACTAAACATGTTTATCTTTAATTTTTTTGATTTTTTACTTGTCATTTATCATGCTAATTTATGAGTAAAGAGTATGTCTCCAGACAATATGCCTATAGGGCTATTTCCATGTAAAAGGATCCATGAGCACCAACATGTGAAGTTCATAGGAGCATGTCATATTGGGTGCCAAATGAAAGCTGAGTATATATTTTTGAGAAATGAAGGATATACATTTTTCAACCATTTTCCATCCCAAAAAATATGAATAAGAAAAGGTTTTGACTTCTTGTCAGACAGATGGAAAAGGGGTCTTAGGAAAAAAAGACCAGAACAAATTTGAAAAGATATTAGAAATGCATCAAAACATAATAATGTTGAAGTAAAGACTCCTGCAAACTAATATCAACATATATTTCATTTAGGAAAAAAATGTATGCCTTCTGTAAGTTTAAGAAACATTGCCTTGTGCCATTTAAATTCTGTTACCAAAAACCCACATATCTTGAAGATATTTTCTAATTTATCTCCCTCATGAGGAGGGAGGATAATGAAAGTTCACATAAGTAAAGCGTAAAGGTAGACCTATCAATTAGTTATAGTGTTTTTACTAATATCGATAATGTTTATTCATAATTAAGTGATTAAAATCGGTAACACAATTTTTGAAAAATTGGGAATTTTGAAATCATAGTAGTCACAAACCACATTTGGGTCATCTGCTACTGTCCTCCTTTCCACTGGCATAGTACTTTTCAGCTGATAACTGTTTTCTTTCTCTTCTGTCATCTGATGGTCAAAGCAAGAGTGTGAACAGTCTAGACGACCTCTCTCTCTCTCTCTCTCTCTCTCTCTCTCTCTCTCTCTCTCTCTCTCTCTCTCTCTCTCTCTCTCTCTCTCTCTCTCTCTCTCTCTCTCTCTCTCTCTCTCTCTCTCTCTCTAATTAATGTCACCTCTCCCGGCTCTTACTGACACCTACCCATGAGCCCCCTCTCATTCCATTTACTGTAAGCAGCATCCTCACCCACTGAGCACCGACCAACACCGGACGTCCATGCATGTTGAAAAGTAGTTTACATTTGGTCAGTCCGCCCTGGCCTTGATTTCAACATCCACAGACATCTGGACCGGCCTTCAGATTTGTTCTGAACCAATCATAGACGTCTGTGTTTCACAAGTTTGGACAGTACAGTACATTACAGTACAGTAGAGTACAGTACAGTAAAGAAAAGTATAGTTCAGTACTGTACAGTAAAGAAAAGTAGAATATAGTTCAGTACAGTACAGTCCTGTACTGTACTGTAGTGTAGAGTAGAATAGAGTGGAGTACAGTACACAGAAGAGCACACTAGAGTTGAGTACACTATAATGTACTGTACTGTACTGAACTATACTTTACTTGACCTTTCTGTACTGTACTGAACTCTACTGTGCTGTACTGTACTCTATTGAGCTCTACTGTGCTGTACTCTTTTAGTGGCGGAGCTGATTAAAATAATAGCAAGTGTGTAGAATAATACTCAAATATGCAATGGAGGATATTGCATATTTCTACCTTTGTGTACCTATTTAGGATACATTTAGGATACATTAGGACTTATGACTCCCGAGTGGCGCAGTGGTCTAAGGCACTGCATCGCAGTGCTAGCTGTGCCATTAGAGATCCTGGTTCGAGTCCAGGCTCTGTCGCAGCCGGCCGCAACCGGGAGACCCATGGGTGGCGCACAATTGGTCCAGCGTCGTCCAAGGTAGGGGAGGGTTTGGCCGGCAGGGATGTGGGTTCGTTTCCCACGGGGGGCCAGTATTAAAAAAAAAAAAAAAAAGTATGCATTCACTAACTGTAAGTCGCTCTGTATAAGAGCATCTGCTAAATGACTAAAATGTAAATGTAAATGTATGAAGAGAATGGCATTTATATCCATAATTATGCATTTCTGTGTAGTACAGATCAGAGACCCATGATGAAATATCCGTAACTGCAATTGTGCTACCGGGTGTAAATCCACTTCACTTACTGTAGTTCAATAACCAAAATAGATTTTTTCAAACTCCAGTCACACAAAAAGGGGTTTGTAGGCAGCGAGCAGTATAGGACCAAAGCGCTCTAGCCCTCTGCCTCATATACAGTGCATTCGTAAAGTATTCAGACCCCTTGACTTTTTCCACATTTTGTTATGTTACTGCCTTATTTTAAAATGGATTAAATAATTTTTTTAATCATCAATCTACACACAATACCCCATAATGACAAAGCAAAAACAGGTTTTTAGAAATGTTTGCAAATTTATTACAAATAAAAAACGGAAATATCACATTTACATAAGTATTCAGACCCTTTACTCAGTACTCTGTTGAAGCACCTTTGGCAGCAATTACAGCCTCGAGTCTTCTTGGGTATGACGCTACAAGCTTGGCACACCTGTATTTGGGGAGTTTCTCCTATTTTTCTCTTCAGATCCTCTCAAGCTCTGTCAGGTTGGATGGGGAGTGTTGCTGCACAGCTATTTTCAGGTCTCTCCAGAGATGTTCATTCGGGTTCAAGTCCGGACTCTGGCTGGGCCACTCAAGGACATTCAAAGACTTGTCCCGAAGCCACTCCTGCGTTGTCTTGGCTGTGTGCTTAGGGTCATTGTCTTGTTGGAAGGTGAACCTTTGCCCCAGTCTGAGTTCCTGAGCGCTCTGGAGCAGGTTTTCATCAAGGATCTCTCTGTACTTTGCTCCGTTCATTTTTCCATCGATCCTGACTAGTCTCCCAGTCCCTGCCACTGAAAAACATCCCCACAGCATGATGCTGCCACCACCATGCTTCACCGTAGGGATGGTGCCAGGTTTCCTCCAGACATGACGCTTGGCATTCAGGCCAAAGAGTTCAGTCTTGGTTTCATCAGATCAGAGAATCTTGTTTCTCATGGTCAGAGAGTCTTTAGGTGCCTTTTGGCCAACTCCAAGCGGGCTGTCATGTGCCTTTTACTGAGGAGTGGCTTCCGTCTGGCCACTCTACCATAAAGGCCTGATTGGTGGAGTGCTGCAGATATTGTTGTCCTTCTGGAAGTTTCTCCCATCTCCACAGAGGAACTCTGGAGTTCTGTCAGATTGACCATCGGGTTCTTGGTCACCACCCTGACCGAGACCCTTCTCCCCTGATTGCTCAGTTTGGCCGGGTGGCCAGCTCTAGGAAGAGTCTTGATGATTCCAAACTTCTTCCATTTAAGAAAGATTGAGGCCACTGTGTTCTTGGGGACCTTCAATGCTGCAGAAATTTTTTGGTACCCTTCCCCAGATCTGTGTCTCGACACAATCCTGTCTCGGAGCTCTACGGACAATTCCTTCGACCTCATGGCTTGGTTTTTGCTCTGACATGCACTGTCAACTGTGGAACCTTATATAGACAGGTGTGTGTGTGTGTGTGTGTGTGTGTGTGTGTGTGTGTGTGTGTGTGTGTGTGTGTGTGTGTGTGTGCCTTTCCAAATCATGTCCAATCAATTGAATTTACCACTGGTGGACTCCAATCAAGTTGTAGAAGCATCTTAAGGATTATCAATGGAAACAGGATGTACCTGAGCTACATTTTGAGTCTCATAGCAAAGGGTCTGAATACTTATGTAAATAAGGTATTTCTGGTTTTTATTTTTAATACATTTTTTTTCTTTGTTCTGACATTAGGGCCGGGACGATACCAGTATCGCGATACTCGTTAGTATCGTGGCAAGGAAACAAAACATTTATTTATTTTCCAAGCTACATACATTATGTTTTAAAGGACCAATGAGTTTGGTCTGCTTCGTGTTTTCATTTTTGGCATGGAAACAATATTTCAGTACTGGTATCG